CCAGCTATGGTGCAACCGCCAGCTGCGGTGCAACCGCCAGCTGTGGTGCAACCGCCAGCTGTGGTGCAACCGCCAGCTGTTGTGCAACCACCTCCGCCGCCAGCTGTTGTGCAAACTCCTGCGCCGGTGCCCACTGCTGCTAAGAGCCCTCCGCCGCCATCAGCAACTTCACATGAGCCACCGACAAGCCAGCCGGCATCCCTGCAGACGTCACTGCCAAGCACACCTGTGCCCATGCCGAGGCCGCCGCATATGGGCATGCAAGAGCGCCCTGCTTACCCATGGCCGTTCCCATGGATGTTTCCTCAGCCTCATGAGACTTCATGGGGATGCGGTTGCCCCCAAATTCCTCCTGCCGGTGTGTGGCTTGCTTGCTATTAGCCAACGATTGCGCGCAGGGTTTAATTGTTTTGGGGAACACATGTCTTTTTGTGTCTGTGCGGAAAAGGTTCCCGGGATACGATCAGATCAATTTTTGGGCTGCAAATATGGGCGGGATGGACCCTGCCGCTACCCAACCTGGTGTGTGACTTGTCCAGAAGGAAAATCACGTCCATACATGCAGTCGTGCGTCGAAGTTTGTTCACACATGCAGTGGAGTTCATCTGAGGCTGCGTGGCTTTCATCCTGGAATGTGGATGGGATTGAATGCTGCGCAGGCTATGCAAAATATCCCTCCTCCACCGCCTCCTCCTCCACCTCAGGAAGAGTCGAAACTTGGAGCAAGGAAATGACTGCATGCATCTGGGAAACAGTTTCACATGACATGTCGATCTGTGTTCACAATGCGTGGAAGGACTGCGAAGGACGCTGATATGCCTGAACGTCTTCCTCCAACTCCTCCGAGTCCGATGTCAACAGACGTGAAGCGGAGTGCTTCTGAGGAAGAGTTTGCAGGGCCTCCACGCACGGAGATGAGCCAGCCCGTGTCGATAGGTCGCAGTATGACTGCCGCAGCCCACGCTGGATCTTTCTGGCGAACTGGGTCTGCAACCAGTGACATGTTCCTCAGCTGACAAGCGGGAAGCAGATGAGAAGGCATCACTGCCACCAGTGCCCCCCATGGACCCGCGAGGGGCAACAGGCCCAACTGAGCCAAGTGCAGTTCCTTCAGGCGTGCCTGCAGTTGCTGCGCAGGCGCCGCCGGGCCCAGAGCCAAGCATGCAACGTCAAACATCGCAGTGCCCAACATGGGGCCCGAGACATCGCCTGCAGGTTTGCCAGCGGCAAGCAAGTTGCCGGACACAGCCCTAGCAGCGGGCGCAGGAGGTGCAGCCACAGGCCCACGGTGTGATGCGGACCCAAGCCTCCCACCATGCATGAAGGTCACTTCCGTCACCCATCCGGCGGCGTACCGGTCCTATGGAAGGTTTGTGGCGAGGAACCCAGAGCGCCGCAAACTCGCGCGGGCCTGGGCAGCAGGCGGTGATCAGAGGCTTGCCATGTTGACAAAATGGGTCGCCGCGGGAGGAGTGAGCCAGGGACTTGCCTTGGAAGCCACAGTGAGAATGAAGAAGCAGCGGGAGATATTAGAGACGGACAAGGGGAAGTGTGTGGGGCCGGATGTGGTGCTGGCATACTTCCACGGGGATGCCGTCAGGGCCTCCTCGTTCATGAGAGAGAGCCCAAGGGGAGTCTTGATTGCATTTCTTGAATTAATTGTTACACATGTCCGTGCAACGCATGTCACGTGTATCACGATGGGTTCTACAAAGTGGTTGCGATTTCCTTTGGTTTTCAATACTCAGGACGAAGAAGGACCTTAACGACCCAACACTCACGAAGTACTTGGTCTATGACGACAGCGAGTACTCCTCTGTCACTAAAACGGTGGCTGCTGAGACGAACCATTATTCAGTTGCATGTTCATGAACAACTGCTGTGTCAGGATGCAGCATGTGTCCGTAGCAAATTTGCCCATGTTTGTATGGAGATATATACAGGGCGCACCATAGATGGCCCGCATATAGCTAAGGACGAAATCAGCATGGAGGTGGGCTGCCAGGCTTCCGAGGTGAGTACGCTCCTGGAGGCAATGGGCAACGATCCCATGTTTTACCGCCGGATCAAGCCGGAGGAGGGGAGCTTGCTACCTGGGGATGGCAAGAAGCCCGGCGAGGGCGCCCACGAGTCGGGCAATCCGCCCGGCGCCAAGCCCGGCGCCAAGCCCGCCGGTGTTGGCAGGGCAAAAGCCAAGGCAAAAGCAAAGGCCAAGTTTGCCAAGGACCGTTTGAGCATTGCTTTGAACAGTTCCGTGTCATGATGCTTTTTTGGTTGATTCAGACGCATGGTGCATGCATCATGTCTACACTCAGGTCCCTGACAACGTGACCGATGAAACGATGAAAGACTTCATCAGCTCCTACAAGAGCGGCATTTCGGATGCCACAGGCGTGTGCGCAAAGCTCACACAAGAACTCGAAGATTTGGAAACCCAAGACAAACTCATCACCATGATAAACGCGGCTTCCGAGGGTATGGCAAAGACAAGGCGAGACGTCTCCAACATCAAGCTTGAGGAGGATGATGATGCGTGGTCCAAGGTGTGTGCCATCGTCGAGCGCACTCGGCCCTTCGTGGTGGCGTACAAGAAACACACACGCGCTGGCCAGTCGCTGACGCTTGGATGTATGCCTATGCATTACTTGTTCTTGCTTGATTTGCCATGTTAAATCTTTTCTGTGTGCCTGGGGTTACCCCCAGGATTGCCAATGACAAGCGCCCGCCGTCGAAGAAGGCCAAGAAGGGTGGTGATGCGAATGACGAGCCGACTGAGCGGCCCGAGTGATCTGGCACGGCTGTGTGCTCCCGCCACGGGATTTGAGTGTGGCCATCATTTGCACCTAGGCTACATGCGTCTAAAGCTATGCATATGGATGGGCCCGCTCCCGGACCCATGGCGGCTCATAGGTTCTGAGCATGAGTGCTCAGGTTTTTCAAGGACCCTCGTGCAGGTTTCATGATGACGCCCAGTACTGTGGGATCTTAAGGTAGACTATGGAGCCTTCCAAGCGGACACTGAGAAACCGACGACTTTGTGGTCCAACCACAAAGACTGCCTGCTGAATTTTGTGCGAGAGCTGACGCGTGAAGATAGAGAATGGATTCGACAAGGAGGGAAAAGGTTGGCGCGTGCATTCACCTTGCCATGACATTGCTCCCAACATTG